TGGATCATAAACTAAGACCTAAAACCATAAAACTTCAGAAGAAAACAGAGGAGGAAATCTTACTGACTTTGGGCTAGGCAGCAGTTTCTTTTATTTATTTATTTCATTATTCATCTGTTATTTATTTATTGATCTGTCTGTTATGCTTTAAATGGAAGTTTACAGTTCAAGTTAGTTTCTCATACAAAAATTTATACACACACTGCTATGTGACCCTAGTTGCTCTCCCTTATACCGTGACAGCACACTCCTTCTTTCCACCCCAGATTTTCCATGTCCATTCAACCAACTTCTGTCCCGTTCTGCCTTCTCATCTCGCTTCCGGACAGGAGCTGCCCATTTAGACTCATGTATAGAAGCGCACTCTTCGCGGGTATCATTTTATGTCTTACAGTCCAGTTTAATCTTTGTCTGAAGAGTTGGCTTCGGGAATGGTTTTAGTTTTGGACTAACCGAGAGTCCAGGGGCCATGTCTCCTGGGGTCCCTCCAGTCTTAGACCATTAAGTCTGGCCTTTTTGCTGAAATTTGAGTTCTGCACCCCACTTTTCTCCTGCTTCATCAGGGACTCTCTGTTGTGTTCCCTGTCAGGGCAGTCGGTGGTGGTAGACAAGCACCATCTAGTTCTTCTGGTCTCAGGCTGATGGAGTCTCTGGTTTATGTGGCCCTTTTGTCTCTTGGGCTAATATTTTCCGTGTGTCTTTGGTGTTCTTTATTCTCCTTTGCTCCAGGTGGGTTGGGCCCAATTGATGCATCTTAGATGGCTGCTCGCTAGCTTTTAAGACCCCAGACGCCACTCACCGAAGTGGGATGCAGAACATTTTCTTAATAAACTTTGTTACACTAATTGACCTAGATGTACCCTGAAACCATGATCCCCAGACTCCCGCCCCTGCTACTCTGTCTTTCCAAGTGTTTGATTGTATTCAGGAAACTTCTTAGCTTTTGGTTGAGTCCAGTTGTGCTAACTTCCCCTGAGGTTGTCTTTCACTTCACCTAAGATAATTCTTGTCTACTGTCTAGTTAGTGAATACCCCTCTCCCTCCCGCCCCACTCTCGTAACCATCAAAGAATGTTTTCTTTTGTGTTTAAACCTTTTCTTGAGTTCTTATAATAGTGATCTTATACAAGGTTTGTCCTTTTGCAACTGACTAATATCACTCAGCATAATGCCTTCCAGGTTCATCCATGTTATGAGATGTTTTACGGATTCATCATTATTCTTTATCGTTTCGTAGTATTCCATCGTGTGGATATACCGTAATTTGTTTATCCATTCGTCCATTCATGGGCACCTAGGTTGTTTCCATCTTTTTGCTATTGTGAACAGTGCTGCACTGAACATGGGTGTGCATATATCTATTCATGTGATGGCTCTTCTCTAGGATATATTCCAATGCGTGGGATTGCTGGATTGTATGGTACTTCTATTTCTAGCTTTTTAAGGAAGCGCCAAATCGATTTCCAAAGTGGTTGTACCATTTTACATTCCCAGCAGCAGTGTATAAGTGTTCCAGTCTCTCCATAACCTCTCCAACATTTATTATTTTGTGTTTTTTGGATTAATGCTAGCCTTGTTGGGGTGAGATGATACCTTATTGTAGTTTTGATTTGCATTTCTCTA